AGCAGAGCAGATTAAAGTGACAGAGCGAAGAGAGCTTTATGGACTCAGCCTCGCTCCTCACTACATGGTCAGACTCAGACGAGTATTACATTAGGAGACGATGGCACAAATGGAATACCCTGAGAATATGCTGAGTGGGCTCAAGTGAAAAGTAAGTTATAGAAATATGCATATGTGGAGAGCCCTGTAAAGGACCTATATGATGCAAAATTGACTCTTGTGAGCTTTAAGCCATGTTAGAATGTTGTTAGCTCCTCAAAAACAGACCTGGAGTCGTGTTTCATTTCATTCACACATCCTTTATTATTAGTCTGTCTACATCTCTAAAACTCAAAATGCTCTGTTCCAACTTGTGATGTCACAAAGCTGTAGTTTCCAAGTTAAAAGCTACCTTTTACCTTTTGTTCCAAATCCAAATCCACTTGTATAGCACATTTTACAAATAAAGCAGTTTACAAAGTGCTGCACAGAGATCATAAAATGAAGACAACAAAAATATACCAGTCCTAAAACAATAAAACTAGTAAAATCAAAATAAAAGCAAAAGCCATAAAATAGCAGTAAACAGGTAAAATAAATAATAGACACAGAGGACTACACAACTCACGCAGTGTTAAAAGCCAGAGAATAAAAGTAGGTTTTAAGATGAGACTTAAAACTCTCCACTGTGGGGGCTGTTGAGACATGGAGGGGCAGAGCGTTCCAGAATTTGGGGAAGGTCACAGAGAAGGTCCTGTTGCCACTGGTTTTAAGTCTTGTTTTAGGCACCACAAGCTGGACCTTGGACCTCAAAGCACGCATCGGGGGTGTAAATTTTGAGGAGGTTCGAGACATACTGTGGGACCAGTCCATTCAAAGCTTTAAAAACAAACAATAAAATCTTAAAATCAACTCTAAAACAAACTGAAAGCTAGTGCAACAGTGCTTAAATCGGGGTAATGTGCTCACGTATTCAGTAGAGATTGGTACTTTCTAATTCTGAATTCTAGTGAAGGTCTATGGAGTTTAGGCACTTCCTGTATTACCACATGAAATCACAAGGAACAAATGTTTTCTGTTTGAGAGAAGAACTCTTATGCTTAAATATGCAGGTTTTTTGTGTTAAACAAACAAAACACAACTCCAGGTTTTTGTTTTTGGGAAAATATTATCACAGATCAGAAAATAGTGTAATATGGGCACTTTAAAGTTGGTATGTACAAGTGAAGTGTCTCCCTCAAGGACACAACAGACACAGGTTGGAAGTATTGAACACTACGGAGTGATATCACGTAGCACCAGGGGTGTAGTGGGCATGGTACGTAGGGGTACGCCGTCCACCCACTTCTCCTCATGTGAGATATAAAAAAAACAACAATATAAATATAAAATAAAACAAAATAATATAAAATAGTCTACAACTTAAATGTCAAACTGGAGCTATTGGCAACGGTGAAAACATGATATCTTCAGTACTGTCCTATACTGACCTGAGACATGAGAGAACCAGGATTGAACTGGGACTAAACCAGAACTAAACCAGGACTGAGTGTCGGGACGGGCCTAGAGCTGCGTCCGCTTAGACCCTCAGGTGACCGCAGGCGAAAGGACCAGTGCAGAGCTCTGCACCCAAAGGAGCGAAGCACAGCTGTCGCCCGATCGCTCTTTGTGGACACCCTGCTCCACGAGCTCGGGGTTCTCTCTCCTGGTTCAGTCACGAATCGCATATCCCCACTTAAAAAATCCCCACTACAACACTGCCTAGCACCTATCTTACAGGCAAAGTAAAATTCCGCTGCTACTGAGAAAATAGTCCCACAACATGCGACAATTCATGCGATGCAAGGTTAGTTTTATTTCAAACATTTTTCAATCAACACAGACAGTCTGGTGTAATAACAGGTTTACTTCGGGTGTTTTGTGGAGTGGGTAAGACTGTTTTTAGTGGCAGAATAACTATGGCCATTGACATGAGCTAGCCTAGCACCAGTGACCTCTGCAAATACAAGGACTGGATGGAATATTTTAAAAAGTGTCCTACGTCTCTAACACTCTGGCTCAAGAGGAAATGAGGTCCAATGTCCAAAATTCCAGTCTGTCCCTTTAAATTTGAGGGTGAATGTGAGGTTATTATTACCCTCTCTCAGTTGTGGTACGAAAATATTTGCATACTTGTATCCCATGTGCTATTGATGTATAAGCTTTGCATGTTTGTATCTGTGTGTGTGCTGTTATTTTGTTATGTGAATTGTATGTGCAGGTTTGAAATACATAACTAAGTGTGCAGTCGTATGCAGGTATTTAGACTGTATAGTGCGTACAGTTGCTTGCTGAGGTGATTCCAGATAAACTCCACATCTCACATTCATCACTTTAATTAGATGTCCTTTCAGCAGCCATTACCATTGATCAGCAAGCACCGCTCTGCCTGTGAAATCAACAGTATGGATCACAGCTATTATGGATCTGCCTGGCTCCTTTTGTCGCAAACTCAAAATCGATGCTGATGCTTGATATATTGTTAATAGTTTTATTAAAGCGCACATATTACGCTATTTTCCGATCTGTTATAATGTTGTTTCCTCGTCAAAAACATACCTGGAGCTGTGTTTTGTTTAAGCTCTTCTCTCTGACGGAAAATACTCAGTTTCACCTTGTGATGTCATGTGATTAGACAGGAAGTACTCCAGTGTGTTTTGAAACTTTAGCCACCTTCACTAGAAACTTTTGGATGATTTCGGCCCTGGAATTGCCAATCTCTTCTGAATGAAAAGTATACAGTAGCCTTTAACATGAAAACTGCTTGTAAGCACCATTTCATAAGGTTTACATATTTGCATAAATAATTAACAATTCATAATAACTCATTTGTATTTTTGTTTAAAAGGCAATTTAATATGTTTCAGTACATGATTTATATGTTTGATTTAAAAGAAAGAAAATTAATACATGAGTTGAACATTTGGGGGCGCACTTAGTGCCTATCTGTTGTATTCTCATGTAATTACATGTGAAGAAATGCTGTTCTCGAACTTGTTAACAATAAAGAAAAGAGATGGATGGAGCAACACGGTGGTTTTACCATGCTGCCACGACATTAAGTTATAAACGCGTAAGACAGGCTCATTAGTCATCGTTCTTTGTGAAGAGGTTAAGTTAGTAACAAGGAGAAAACGAGTCAAAGTTTAGCCTCTACACTGCTTCATGACATCACAAGGTGGAGTATTTTGAGCTGGTGCAGGATTTGTGTGTTGTGTGAATGAAACAAAACACAACTCCAGGTACATTTTTGATGAGGATACAACATTATAACATAAATAAAAAACTTTATGCAATACTGATACTTTACTGTGTCATCATGCGGGGGGTGTTCTACGTTTATGCGTCTGGAGGAATGTTCAGGAGTTACCATGGTGAAGTGATGTACACATCAGCTGCCAAAAAAGTTTTAAGTTAGGATTTGTGTGTTGTGTAAATGAAACAAAACACAACTCCAGGTACATTTTTGATCAGGATACATTATATCATAAAAAAAAAATCGTATGCAATATTGATACTTTGCAGTGACACCATGCTGGGTGTGTTCTACGCTTATGTGTATGACGGAATGTTCAGCAGTTACCATGGTGAGATAATGTACACATTAGCTGGCAGAAAAAGATACAAAAAAAAAAAAAAAAAAAAACCTAAAAAAAAAACCCCAAAATAGCACAGATCAGCTCACCTGTTGTACTTCCAACTAAGGCAACTCTTTTGGGTCAGATGTGGTAAAAGAAGGCTCAGTTAGATTAAAGTCCAACACAGACAGAGCAGTGCCTACAGTTAGCATCACACCCCCAAATACTGTTGATAATATCAGCTACAAAGTATCAATAGGCCCTTTAAAGTACATTATTAAATGGGTACTTCACTACTTTTACTCAAGTAGATGTTTTCATGAGATACTTTTTGGTCATATATCAGTACTTTTACTCAAACGATACAAAAAGAAATACAATCCTATAAAAGATCTGAAAACCATTGTTGCAGAAAATAGAATTGACAAAGTGCCCAGTAACTGCATCTCAAGCTGCCTCTTCAGCAGTGACGCGCTTAGTTTATGATGAAACTTTCACTATAAACTTTATTCATTTAGTTGCATGGAGTTGGGCTTCTGTGATTGAAGAGGGCAGATGCAGTCATTCACCAGTGGCTCTGACACTCCTCCCTCAGCTCGCACAGATAGCATCTCTGCTTTAAATGGAAAACTACACAGAGCTGCCGGCCTAATGGTGCGGAGCTTCAGAGAGACAGGAGACAGACTTTGCAGTGCTACACAGTACAGACAAGGGCTGAACGATCTGGGAAAAATATCGAATTGCATTTTTGTCTGAAAAGTATTACATTTGTGGTTTATGTTTTAATAATACTATTCTGTACGGAAATATGAAATGACAAATTAATACAGTACAAGAATCAGACTTCAGAACATGTTTGTACCATACACTGTATAAATGAACATCGTTAGCCTGCTAGCTGCTGCATTCCAAACAAGAAGTGAGCAGAAGAGTGCATGCAGCTCCACTGACTCCAGCTACACTTCACTTATTGATAAAACATCAGCCCTGTCTGTGTAACAGCTGCTGTCAGGCTTCTCATTCTGGTTTTAAAATGTTCATATTTACCCACTTTACATAATCCTGGGGTTTTTATGTAGCTATTTTGTCTGTAAATCAATTCCTATTCCTAATATGGTACCCAGCTCCAAATTTGCCCCATAACTGCTAGCCTCGGTGGCTTTATTTGACACCATGTCACACTCAGTCCAGAATTAAGTTTTCTAATTTGTGGAATACATTATGGAACTTCCAAATCTGCAGCTGTTTTGGTTTGCTAATTACATTCATTCAAATTTGATTGTGATGAATCTTTCACCATCAGTATTGATGATTACATTCTCACTGAAGTCAGTGTGATGTTTGCCCCTGCAGGGCAGCAGCATGGCGGCCGAGCGGGTTGCCGTGGCAGCGCTCATGGAGGTGATGGAGGTGGGTGGCACCGCAGAGCCCGATGTTCTGGACGTGGATCAGGGGCTCACTCTAGCCTGTATTGGCTTCCTCTGCCTGCTGCTGGTCGCCATGATCATCCGCTGTGCCAAAGTCATCGTGGACCCTTACAGTGCCATCCCCACCTCCACCTGGGAGGAGCAGCACCTGGATGACTGACCCCGCACACACCTGGGAGGAGCAGTATCTGGATGACTGACCCCGCACACACCTGGGAGGAGCAGTATCTGGATGACTGACCACACCCCCACCTGGCAGGAGAAGTAACTGGACCACTGACCTGCCCGCACTTGGCAGGAGCAGCACCTGCACAACAGACCCCACCTACACCTGGGAGGAGAAGTAACTGGACTACTCTCACTCCCACACCTGAGATCTATGGGCCTTAAAAACGTGGAGAGGCAGTTGCTGGATTACCAGCTAATGATGTCACAAGGTGAAACAGAGCAAATTTAGTTTGGCTCAGGAAGATAGTCTTAACATGCAAAATTATTCAAAGGTGAAAATGAAATAAAAGACAACTCCAGAGATGAGGAAAACAAATGAACAGGTTACAGGATTTTTATGTTAAATGATTGGGAAAGTGACTAGAGGAGCAGGCTGTATTGGTCATTCAAAATGATTGTCTTCCACCTCTCCAGTGTGGACTGTATGGACAATGTGCAAAAGCATGTATTAGTACAGACAGATAATCGTTGCCTTTGCTAATGTTTACACGCTGAAATGACAAACTGTCATGTGTTTACAGAACACATCTATATTATTCCTGTGCCATGACGGAAACTCAAGGACTGCAGAAGTAAAGGTGCAGGGCAATAGGGAAAAAAACAACAACTTCCTTTTAGAGATTTCACTTTGAATCTTTTTCTGTAAGTAACTTACATAAAGTAATAATAATCCAATTTATATGTAAAAAATGCCAAAATTGCACACATTTGCACATAACATTGCACATATTTGGGATACATATGCTTAAGAAATTGATAAAGTGAAGTTTAAATTTCAGTATTTTTTGTTTGGCTGACATTAAACACTTTGACTTTAGGATGTCCAATTTAGTGTTTGAATAAAGTAGATATCAATTTAAAATATATAAATAAATCAAACATCAATAGACTGACTGGAACAACAAATCTGTAAAAATGTAAATACTCAAGGTACAGTATGTAACTTTCTGGAGGTGGCACTCGCATGATTTCATGGAAAGAGAAACTATACTTTGGAGCTTTCTCCATGGAGATAGATATATTTGATCATCTCCATGGAAACAAGCAGGAAGAAGCCCTTCTCCAGGCCAAGTAAGAGGCAGGTTTGTGGAGGCAAAACAAAAAACTAAAATATGCTTTTTTTTTTTTTTTTGGCTAAAACATTGCTAGTTGCATACTGTGGCTTTAAGTACAATTGAAAGTGTAAAAATGCATTTTGAGATGCCTGATTATTATTGTTTTTTTTCCCAGTATGTCCTTAAGTGTTGATTAGTCAGTGTTATTCCAGGTGAACCTTTATACATTATGAGAGCAAACTGACCCAAAGTATGAAGAGCACTATAAAGAGAATCAGTAGTTATTAGCTATTAGTATTAATCGTTCTTTCACATGTGAGCCCTGACGTTGAACCTGGTGGAGAGGAGACAGTCCTGGTCCAAAGCCATAGATCCAGGTGCCATAGAGTCTGGCACAAATCCACATTCCTCCAGAGAGCAGCACAATGCAAAGTCCCTTTACTATCTACAGTATATAAGTTTAAGCTGGTCCAAGACCAGCCAACATCAACTTTATAAAGCAAAACACTGCACAGTGCAGCAGAGCACATCAAGACACAATGCTACTTCTGTGGTTAAGATTAATAATTTGAAGTGCATAAGGCAGATTAAGCTGCACATTTTATTAATTTAACAGACTTACATTTAAGATTTAGCTCTACATCTTCCTTAGTTGTTTTGTTTTATTTATTTATTTCAATAAGTTGTCTCTGCATTTTGGGTGGAATAATATTGTTTTGGTGACATGATGATATTTGGTGAGTTCTTTCTTAGACCCACAAATACAAACAAAATAATAATTTGAAAAAGTGTCATATACACTTTAAAGGTGCATTAAGCAAGTTTTCTAGTGAAGGGTCCATCTGCTTGTCTCCATGGAGATGTTGCACCCAGGGAGAATGGTTTGTCTGGAATGTTTCACAGTATGACATATTCATAGAAACAAGCAGGTGATGGACCCACAAGAGATGTGTATTATACATAGATAACACAGATGAATATGTACTGTCATTCAGATATTATATAGACATTAATTTATGAATACAGTAAAAACTAAATTCTTCTCACGTCCATTAGAGCATAATTATGTATGACACTGAAGGCATCCATGGTAAAACTTCACACTTTATAGAATGATTGTGAAATGCATGTTCTGAAGTGCCTATAAGTTCACTGACAGAGGGTTGTTTTAGCACAATACCTTTAAATGGTCTTCTCTATAAAATATTTGCACACCAGTATTATGCGACTGAATGCAATGAAGTATGTCTCAAGTTGTGGTAATGTAATTGGTAAAAAGTATCTTATTGATGCAATAATAACTTAAAGTGCACATGAGAGGTTAGACTACTCATTTCACCAAAACTTAGTGAGCATCATTATATTTAAGATTGTACTAAAAATCTTACTTTGTGTTTTCTATTTTTGTAAAATTTTGTAACATTTATAATTTTACTTTGTGGTTGGACAAGAGTAGCAAATATGATGCACATAGAGGTAGTTCCAGTCCTACAACCATAGTGTAAACAAAAATTATACATTAGTTATGGTTAGACATATAAAAAATAATGACATCACTTTTATTTTGTTAAAGACCTATTATGCAAAATTGACTTTTCCGAGCTTATATCCTTGTTATAGCTGTTTCCCCTCACCAGTTACTCACCCAAAGTTGTATCTGGAGTGATTTGTGCATATTTGAGTAATTTTTTATTGCTTATTTTCAAGATGCCATTTTGCCAGTCATCTCCTGTTTTCTCCGCATACACCCAAACCCCCCAATTTTACTTTGGGTGTCGCATAGTCATTTTGGTACAAATGACAAAAAATACTGCATGCTCTAAAGCTATCCATAGAACTTGCCGACTCATTGTTGTGATGACATTTATGGGGTCATCAGCTCCCATTGGGCACCTCAGTTTTTAAAAGCGGAAGTCTGTGCACTTGTTTCTTTTATGAAGTCGTTTTAGATTGATAATGCGATTTAAAATGTGCAAATGATAACATTATGACCCATGGGTGTCATAGATTCTAACTGTACAGCAGAGACAAGTGCAATAGATCTTCTTTACATCAGTCTTTAATATGTCAGCAAAATGTATTCCTTATACTTAAATTGCTGAAATTTGGATGGAATTTTCAGAGTTTATGACAAAGGTAAAACTCACTGCTACCTCCGTTTTGTTTTGCTTTAGTTTTTTTTGCACATTTTTTCAAACTTTTTTTCCTCAATTGGTCCCTTAACTAATATATTTACTATAGGTACAGTCCCTCAAAATCAAGACATACTTAGAAAAACATGAAAACCTGTCATGTGCACTTTAAGAATAATGCCTGCATCTGTTGTACTAGTATATGTGAACACAAGAATAAAAGCAAATCTGTGTCTCATTGCTGTGTGTGTGAATGCTCCTCAGATCTGCTCTCTGGTCTTTCACAAGGACGTATGCAGCTCACTCAGGTCCACTGGGCTTTCAAGGTCAGCTCTGATCCTCTGTACAATGCTCATGATGGAGCGCTGTAATGCATATCAAACAGCTGTCATCTCCGTAGACGCGGATGTCTTTAACCATGGTGCTGATGTTATTGCTATGGTGCTGTGGGCTCTGGCTCCCGATACTGACTCAGGTGTCTGTGGGGATTAGGTTTTACACAGGATATGTAGAAACAAGGAACACACTGAGCAGTAACTTCATATGGCAAAGTAATAAAATAATATCTCATACTATACAAAAGCATGATGAGAGAGGGCAGACATGTGTACTAAGTGACAGGTCTGTAAACATAAGCAAACAAGACCAGCCAGGTTAGTGTAGTCAAATTACATGATACGTGATACTTGTTCATGATACATGAACAATATCCTTTTTTCTGAGACCTGCAACATGTATTAAGTCTAAATTGCTGATATAATATTGTTGAAAGGACCAGGGCTAAATTACGCAGCCTGGGCCTCACTACCTTTTTTCTAGTCACTGTAATAACCCTCAGAAAATCACTCAGCTTTAAAGACACAATGCAAATAACTCTGACTACACTCAAAAATATCACATAGCTTTAAAACCACAATGCATACTCAAAAATATCATTTACTACACTCAAAAATTATCGTTTAACTTCGATAACACAAGGTAAATATCTGACTACACTCAAAAAGATCATTTAACTTTAAGAAACACCATACAGGTAACTTTAACAACTCTTAAAGTATCACCTGGGGAACACTTACAACTTCACTTAGCTTTAGAAACCACTCTATGAAATGCTCTATACTCTATCTGACAACATTTGCCCAAAACACATTTTTGACAGTGCCTCAAAGAATTTAACCAGATTTTGTTTTATACCAAAAACATTGCAAATATTAATTTATCCTTAGCAGTGCCTCAAAACCTTTAACCAAATTTAGCTTTGCATCAAAAACATTGCATTTTTGTAAGTAACTCACCTAGGATGACTTGACTTGCTCGTGGTAAATATATATGTATAATAATTAAGGGAAAAGACTCAACAAAAGATTCCAACAAGTGATTTGTCTTTGTCTTATTTGTCTGCTTTTTATTGTTTAACGCACCACGCAAGTGACTGGTGGTCACTCTTCATACTCGTGATCACTCAGGGTTTTTAGGCCCAGAGTGCTCACGACAGAGCACTTATAACCAACTCACTCCGTAGCCACTATTTTTACCAGAAAGCTCATACAAAAATAATTAGGACAAATCACTTTGCAAGTACCCTTTTGGAGAAATTACCCTGTGACCAGGAAAGCTATAAAGCACAGCCTAGTCCGAATTAGAGATCTTGACCTCGTAAGCCGAGTTACAGCCGGAGGGCCAATGCCAACCAAAATCAGGATCTCATCATTATGCAGAATTTTCAATATTTATATAGGGTCACAGGGCTCCACCCAGGTATATGCAAAGTGATCAGTACGTCACACATAGAACACATTTCCAAGTACAGGCAACACTTCTCAGAAACCACAATCTTCACCATTCTAGCCCCCAACGCTCCTCCCCCAGCCAAGTGTGAAGTTACTGCCACCTCGCTCTGTCGAAGGAGCAGGAAGCTCGCACCCGCATTGTCTACAGGCCTCCCACGCGCCGCATAACACATAGGGTTCGTGCATCAGTGTCAAAGGTCAACTGTCAAAAGAACAGAAAGTCCTTACACAAACATAATGATTACAAAAATTAATGCAAAACAACCCAAACCTAGAAATTAAGTTGAAAGAATTTAAACAAATCAAAGTAAAAGAAACAAATCAGATTAAAACGAAACAAAACAAGTATCTTAGGCTAACATAGGTCACAAAAATACCTCTATCATCTAAATTAATCACTCTTAATCTCTAATGCTCTAACAGTTATCCATTTACTAAAATAAGGCATCATGAACATCTTCATCTGAATGTCAGGAGCCCTTTAATGGAATTTACGCCAAAACCTTCATCTTTTTACCCCACCCGGGTGAGCTCTCCTGTGGCCGAGGGGGGGTACACGACAAATATATAATACATAATATATGAACCTGTCCATCTGCAAAAGTTCATTAAAATCATAGCTAATGCCCGAGTCGCCATGTTCAAGATAGGAAGTGATAATGGGCGTGACCATTGACTCAGCTTCCAGTTCACTTTGTACTGAAAAAAACACAGCCCCTCTCTCTAAAACTGCTGCTGTCAGGCTCCTCATTTTGGTCTTAAAATGTTCATATTAACGCACTCTACATGATCTTGGTATTTTCATTTCACTATTTTGTCTGCAAATAAATTCCTATTCATAAAATGGAACTCGACTCCAAATTTGCCCCATAACTGCTAGCCTTGATGAGGTTCATTTGACGCTATGGGTGACGTCACACTCACTTAGTCCATTTCTTTATACAGTCTAAGATAAGAATGTGTTGTTTTTATACTTGCCCTTTAATCCAGTCTGTGTCCCATTATTATATGCAATGCTCCCTTAGCTGACAGTTGCTTGGAATGGGATCCACCTTTCCTCACATCTACACAAGAGTTTACAAAGAGGTGACACACAAAGAAATAAAAATACATGTTTTATTATAAATTTGTATCAAACTTCAGTAACACTGATTGTCAAACAGCAGTAACATTTGAATGTGAGACAGCCGTTAGTGGTCGACTCCTCTGCGTTGGTCCTCTGCTCTCCGCTCTGGTCCTCTGCTCTCCGATCTGCTCTCTAGTTTGGAGGTGTTGTTGTGAGGTAGATTTAGCGCTGTAGAGCCGGAAGAATAACCCCGGAGCAGGAGCCAAAGCCCACTCTGTGCCCGGGGCCCTGACAGTAGCCTGCACATAACACAACACAGCTGGAGTACTCATGCACGTTGGGAACAAAATGTACTCAAGTCTCATATGTTTCAGTGTAATACTCGCTATAAGTCAAGTTATTACCAACCGAATGTGTGACTTATACAGTTCAGATGTATAATTTATGTTCATGTGATCTCATAACAGATATAAACAGTGTAAAAATACATATGTCTTGCCACATTGTTTTGTAAAATCTCTGTCATTTTCACAAGTTTTATCTGACAGAAATCAGGTGTAAAGTCACCTGATAATCTCCATGGAGATGTTATTGCTTTGCATGAAAATTTCCACAGTATGCCATTAAACATATTCATCTCCATGGAGTCAAGCACAGCATTTTTTAACTGCAATTGAATAAATGCAAGATGGTCGTATAATGTCAGATCACACAAACTATGAACATTCCACCAGAAAATGTGGTAGGCCTATATGACAATACTATGCCACAAGTACACAGTTTTGAAACACTGTTGCAGTCTGCACTACAGGCGGTGTGAATAAGGTCATAGGTTAAAGGTCATGGGGGGTTTGCAGTAGGGCTGACCTGTGATGATGACCTCATCTCCGTCCTTCAGGAATGTGCGGCTCTCTCCTCCTCCCAGGTCGATGGTCTTTGAGCCCCTCCAGGACAGCTCCAGCATGGACCCGAAGCTCTCAGGCTCCTACAGCACAATACAGACAAACACTGTCAACATGCTGCCTAAAAGTACCCAAAACTACTGCATGTACACCTGAGTGTGTACAGGTGAGATATAGAAGGTACATTTATTAGAGCATCTTTTAGAATTATTACAGTATAATAACTTATAGTTGAGTTATATTTTTGATGCAGGTAAGTAAGTCAGTTACTTTTCTCACTGGTTTAAGTCCACCAAAAAGTAACAATAAAAAGTAACAATATATCTTATATTGTCAATATTGCATTAATTTCTGTATATATATATATATATGTATATATTTTTTAAATATCTCAGACACTTATCGATTGCAGTTTGAATTTAATCAAAAATTGAGCAGTATTTGAAGTTTTATCTGCCCAATTACCTGAAAACTTAAAAAAATAAAAAAATAAATAAAAAATCTAAACTTTACATAGAAGGGAACTAAACACTAAACTTTTAAGTATGGCGTTTTAATAGCATTATCTACTGTTCTTAGTCATTTTTTTGGCCATTTTAGTGCAGCTCAGGTACATCTGCATCCTTCTGATCAAAAACAGTCAAAAACTGTGTGCTGCCTCCTGTTAATTTTAAGTACTATGTGACATCACACATGACTTGATTACTGCCAAATGTTTCAGATTACACAGACCTGGCTGAAGGGGCGGAGTTTGAAGTGTGGGCACCTGTTAACTTTCCAGTTTAGCAGCTCTATTTGAAATGTGGTTGTGGGAGGAGTTTAGTCCCACTACTCATCATAGCATTTTCACTATTTTCTATATTTATTTTAACCTGAGGAATATATGTATAGTACTAATACTCTTACTTGAGTACAGATGAGGTACATGTGTAGAGTACTGACCGGGCCGCTGATGGTGCCTGAGGCCAGCAAGTCTCCAGGACGCAAGTTACAGCCATTCACTGTGTGGTGGGCCAGCTGCTGCTTCATGGTCCAGTACATGAACTAGTCAAACAGAAGACACAAGGTTATTTGTCTCTATGGAGATGTCATTGCTCTGCCTGAATTGTATGGCATTAAAGTTCCCTGTCAAATCCTCAATGACACAATATCTCTTGTATTTTTTATACACTCTGGTCCCCACGCACTCCGTCGTGTCTCAAGTCAGAACCAAACATAATCATGCAGTCAGATTTGTTTATTTCAGTGACACATATCTTCTTTCTTCCACGTAAGTAGTCATTTTTGTTTTGATACAGACGGAGCATGTTTATCCCTGACTGACTAATCAACCTGTCAATCATACCCTTCTAGACGAGACTAACGTCATTGTTAAGTATGGAAGAAGTGCATCTATTCTGGAACCCTGGCAAGAATTTAAGTAAAATAAAAATAGACTTTTATAAATTTTAACCATATAACCCAGTGTATAACCCCACTGCTCTGTATTTACTTGCGATTATTCAAAACTTTCAAACTTACGTTATAGTTCAGTACTACTAAACTGTAAATAAATATTCAAAAAGAATAATAATGCTTTAAACTCTTCATGAAGACAAGTAAGTAATGCCACGAGACTGAGTTACAAGTCATAACTGTGGAGAAGCAAGCCCACTAAACAGTAAGGATGACTGTTTTTAGTATTTTCAGCAACCTGCAATTGAATAAATGCAAGACGGATAACTTTAATGCCATACTGTGGGGCATTTCACACAAAGCGATAACATCTCCATGAAGACAAGCAGATGGTGGACCCCTCACCAGAAAAGTTTCATAGTGCACCTATAATAGAAGAATTGACAACTACTACATACAAAGTCACAGTGAAGACAATGTACTGACCTTGAAGTTGGACCGACAGATGGTTGAAGCCTGCACCATGCCCTCTCCTGCAGAGTACACACTATTAGAGTACTTTGTGTGTAATCATTCAGCTAAAAATAAAGTTCTTGTGTTTGTGGAATCTACTAAAAGTTATTTATTCGACAAATATGAGGTTGAAACAGGGGTGAAGAGCAGGGCAGGGAGAGACATTCAACAAACCTTTGTGAATTGGCACGGGGCCTATATTGTCCTGTGATGAATCTCCTTAGGCATCGTGCAGGACAATTTACTAAAGCTAATGCATTATTTCAGCCTATTACCATACTTTTGGCATCTTTACATTGGCAAAGATCCCAAAGAATAAATCTCCTGGCAGCACTGGGGATGATCTGTGATTGAAAAACATCTGCTGTCTGAACAAGCACTATTTGAGTGCAGGAGTGATAAATGGCTTTTGTGATGGTCTGTTTTAGCAGGATTACTCAAACACGTGTGAATGAATTTAAATTGTTGCCATGTATTTGGGCAAGGTACTTCACTCAAATTGCTTGTGTAAAAGAATGCATGATTTGAGGGCAAAAACAAAGAAGTATTGTGAATGTGTTTATATTTGCAATTCATGTTTAAAAAGTTCCTCGTTAAAAAGTAGGATTATCTTCTGTGTGCGCAAGTCCAGCCAGCATTAAAGGTGCACGGGGTAACATTGCTAGTGGAGCGTCTGCCACCAGCTTCTCTCCATGGAAACGTTATTGCTTTGCCTAGTTATTGCTTTGCTTTGCTTTCCACAGTTCTACAGTACAATTCAGATCTGTGGAGAGGTGCTGCTATTCACAGAAAGACAGAAAGAATTATTGTATTTTTGAGCAACAAAAACACCCATAATGAATAAATGCAAGATGGGGATATTCAATGTCATACCATGGAACATTCCAGGCAAAGCAATAACAACTCCATGGAGATAAGCAGGCCTCCAACAGAAAAGTTGTGCAGTGCTCCTTTGACAACATTTGAGTGAAGGTTGTAATCTGAACAGATAAATTAATACAAGAAACCCATGGATTTCAGAACATGTTTGTAGAGGTCTAAACCATTTGCATGTAGGTCTGCAACATACAGTTCTGACACATGTTGAAATGTTAAGACATATTTTGTATAATTTCTAATCTTTTTGTAATTATTTTATTGGCTATTTTGTTCCAGTATTGCTGGTTCAATTGAATGTTGAAAAGAAAAAGAAATGGGCTACATTAAATGTCCAAATATACGACTTACAGTACGGATCCCTTTTATTGCTGGTTCAATTACTGTTTTTCATTGTTTAAAACTTGAGTAATTCTAATTGTTCAGAGAGACACGATCACTCAGTTAACAATAAAATATCCTCATTAATGTTCAGTAATGGTCAGATCCACCTTTGTTTTGTGATTTATGAAAAATGTCTATTGACTTGAGTTGCAAAGGTTTGTGGCTTTTAAAATATGGGTCCCTGCAATATAGTTTCGATTGAGATATATTGTTAAGCCCTAGTGTAAATATTAATTGTTGGTGATCAGACAGAACCTGGCACCACCCTGGCATGGTGTGGCCCCCACCTACTCTGTTTTGATGGTTCACTTATATAATATAAACTTCTTAACAATCCGACTGATTTGACCTAAAAAGCCTGACTAAAATTTATCTCTGTTCAAACTGAAGCTGTTTCTGTTTGGAGTACAAACAAGTGGCTGGGCTCTTTGTGAAGCTGAGGCTCTGTAGACTCTGTCTAGTCTGAATTACTCTCATTATATCTTATCTGGATTTTTTTTTTCTTTTTGGTCATAGACACGAGAAAAGGTGCTATTGAGAGGTATGGACTCAAAGACAGCAGAGTTGTTGGGTTTTGACAATTCCTATGACAAATCAGAAGCCCAAAACAATAAAAAGGAGATATAGGGACTTGTTAAAAGTTAAAAAGGCCAGGTACAATTCACATAAAAGTCATATTAAACTTTTGTGAACCTGTCTGGCCATTTTGTTATTTGTGGGCTTTGAGTACAAACTGATTCTGATTCACCCCAGAATGTTTTGAAAATAAGAGCTTACAGCTTTCTTCTAAAATTTTACATGTCTCTGAGTTTGATAGTTTTATTTTAGTGGTTGACAAAATAAAATAAATAGAGAAAAATCCAAACATACCTAAAGAAGTATGACGGAATTTAAAGTTTTTTTTAAATTAGTCAAATCACATCAGTTTTGCACATTATCTCCACTAAGGTCAACCCACCTTTGATAGCCACAAACAGGTTGATGTTGAAGGTGTATGGATCTTGGTGCTGGAGGTAAGGAAGGGGCTCTGGGTCCTGAAATGACAGCAGCACAGTCAGACCTAGACCCTCCTGTAGACTCACAATCAGGATTAGACCCTGTTGTAGGTCCAGAATTAGACCTGGATCAGACTCTGTTGTAGATCCACAGTCAGACCTGGATCAGACCCTGTTGTAGATCCACAGTCAGACCTGGATCAGACCCTGTTGTAGATCCACAGTCAGACCTGGATCAGACTCTATTGTAGATCCAGAGTCAGACCCTCCTGTAGACCTACAGGACCTGAGGAGAAGGGGTTGTACCTGGACTGCGTTAGGCTCTGCAAAGGGCATGAGTGCCTCCATGGGGACCACCCATGGTGAGATGGTGGTGCCAAAGTTCTTTCCCAAGAACGGGCCCAGAGGAACATACTCCCATGCCTGGATATCCCGCGCTGGAAGACAGGGGACAGCTTTACAACAATAGATAGATTACTAGCTTCTAGTTACTTTTTAACATTTTAGCAGCATTTTATATCATTATTTTATATAAACTGAATGATATTTAATCTGCATATTCTCTGAGCTCGGATCAGTCAGAGCAGGTGATGCAGTATCATGTATTTTACTAGAGTGTCAGAAACAGAGATGTGAGACAGCTGTGCACTGGGACGAGTGGGACTTCTGCTGTACTCATATGATAGAATACAACAGAATAATGCTCAATTACACGTATTAGTGCAGGTTCAAAAATCTACTATTACGAAAAAATGGTAAATGGTCACATTTTTCTATAGCGCTTTTCTACCTTTAAGGCACTCAAAGCGCTTTACAACAAGGAACCACTCACCCATTCACACACCAGTGTACGCAGACACTGGGCAAGGTGGGTTAAGTATATTGCCCAAGGACACAATGACAGCATCCATCTGTGGGAGCTGGAATCACACCAGCCAACCTGTGGGTCAGTGGATCTGACCACTCAACCTGTGATGTTTTATGTTGAGAGCTGGATTTGAACCTCCAACCTTCAGATCAGTGGGCGAATGCCCACATTACATTGCAATATGTAATTGCTCTGCCTGGAATGTTCCACAGTATGACATTAAACAGCTCTACCTTACATTCAATCAATTACAGGTGGTTTCATAGCTCAGAAATACCAAAAAAATGTCATTCTGATAGTGAGCCTCTCCACAGATCTGACCTGTAGCTTGGTCTTATTTGGTCTCCATGAAGATATAAAGGTTTAATGCCATACTGTGAAACATTGCAGCCAAAGCAATAACATCTCCATGGAGAAAAGCATTCGATGTGCCCTCCACCAGAAAAGTTACACAATGCACCTTTAATCATTGCATTGCACAGAATGCCCTCCCACAGTCCTTGGAATGATGTGTCCTGTGTGTTATATAAAGGTACATACCGCTCCAGTCATTCATCAGGACCATGCCAAAGATATGTTCATGGGCTTTCTCCACAGGGATGGGCTCTCCCAGACGGTTCCCCTCACCCACAAAGAAGGCCTGTGGACAGAGGACACAAGACGGGGGGGGCAGAGGTCGTAAAATCACACAACATAAAGAATAAATTACCTAACAAGTATCTTCCAGACTGCAGACTTCAAGGTATATTTGAGCAATAAAAACACCTATAATTGAATAGGTTTAATACCACAGTGGGGAGTGTTCAAAGGAAAACAATATAGTCAAGCAGGTGACCGCCCCTCCACCAGAAAAGTTACATAGTTCAGCTTTAATAATTACTCTTTTTAAAAATGTCAGCACTTTAAGAAAAAATGTTCTATAAACTGCAGTGTACTATTATCTAACAAATACTATTCAATTATCCACTTTTATTGTTTATATATTTTTTAGACATTTCATTGATAATGGTCCCGGTGATCCTGTATGGAAAGTTCCACAGTATGGCTTTTAACTTATATTTCACAATGTACGGACACAAGCAGGTGATACCATCAGATCAAGTTATAAGCCAGATCTGTGAAGAGGTGACCCTTTTCACAAGTCAGTGAATATACACAAGAAGTTTAATGTCATACTGTTGCACTTGTAGGGAAAGCAATTACATCTGAGCATAGTGCAACTTTATTATAAGATTTCTCAGTGTTTAAAGGGCGTAACTGCCAAAAGATTCTACTCAGAATTCTGTTCACTTGCCCAGGAACAAAGTGAACTGTGAGAATAATAATGTCTCAGATTTATATTGCACTTGACAAGCTACTCAAAGCACATTTTCAGTAGTCTATTATTAATTCACTCTCCACACTTGGTGGTGCTAAACTACTTTCTATGGCAACAATGGGCCCAGAAATCACTACAAGAAGTTTTCACATATAAGGACCTAATTTCAGTTCTAGGTACTTTTTTTTAATAACCTACCTTTACTTGTCCTCATTTCAATAACTCATATGTAAACAATATGGTGAATGCTAAACTGTAAAATAAAGAAATGTAAACGTAAAAAATACAGGATGTAGCAATGAGTTCTAAAACAGAATCCCTCCATCTATGTCATTAGCACCCCAAATCCAATCCAAAATGCAGAGACAATAAACAAATAAATAAAGGTGTCATCTTTTTATTTGTCTAATCACAACTATTGTGAAATTTAAACAGGTTTCAGCCCTCAACATTATGGTTGCTATAGTTAACAGTTATGAAATGATTCGACCAAAAAAAAAAAAACAGCTCCCACCGGTTTCCGCTGGTGAAGGAAATATCACCAGTGGCCTTGAACGCACCATTAGTTGTTAGTATTACTCTTGTTCAGTGTGAAAAAGCCTCAGCTGACAAACAGGCGTGATGACTACAACAGCATATGAAAAGGCAGATGCAGCATTTGAACTGACACAATTCTGGTCATTAGACAACTGCTCGACCAATACTTTGGATTATTAGGATACATGTATATTTTTTGGTGCTGTCTTATGCACCTCAGCAGTGATCTCTTGCTCTGGTTCCAGAAGTAAATTTTGCATTCATTTTTCCTTTGGACTTCCCAGAGAAAAAAAAGTATATTAATACTACTAGTTAAAAGCCAACATGGAGGCTTAGCAGCTGCATGCTATAATATCTGGAAGGCGCTTGTTTTAAGTTAGAAATGCAGTTTAAAATGCAAGATTTGGTGAAATGTTTTAATAATTTTGTGGTTTATAGTTTCAGAAACAGATCTTAAATAAAAGTATAGGTCTTGTTATCATTAGTTACCCCATAGCTGATTAACCCCGAGCAAGCTTCAAACTTTTACTACACAGTTTTTTCAGAAGGTGCATGAGAAAAATGAACGGGAAATCTCCTTCTGGAATCGGGAAGAGGGCGGTTATTGTTGAGTTCCATAGGGCTGTATAGTTTATCAGTTGTAATCTAGATCAAGATTCAGTCATTATAATTGTCAGTGATCATCTTGAGTCTTTTTAATGGACAGATCCACAGCCAATCTTCTGTTTTTAAAGGCATGTATTCTGAAGCAGAATTCAGACATTGGAAGAAGAAATGTAACTACTTCTTTTTGAATTGCACTGATTAAAAGGCTATGAAATTTATGTTAGGCAATAGTACTGAATAATATAATAAGATAGTGTAAAATGGAATCAAAAACTACAGCTGATAAGTAATTCAGTGTAAAAGTGTTGTGTACGCACCATCTCCAGCTCGATGTCCAGCTGCTTGGACGGTCCAAACACTGGAGGTTTACCTGAAACAGTCACAGCTACAGTCAGAGCAATGCACTCCTTACACACTTCATTGCATACTAACCCTTAGTCAGGTAATGCGTGCACTACAAATTATGGGTTAAACCATGTCTAAATCTGAAATAACAATTTGTAAACCAAGATTTATGACTTTTAATTGAATGTTGCATGAGACAACATAGAGATATCATGCTTTTTTCCATTACTTCATATGAAAACATAGATAGGTAGATAACTTTGCTCATTATAAACTGTGGAATAGTTTAAAACACCTTAATAATGTATTTTTAATTTTGAAAAATGTCTATGTGGCATTTCTGAACTTTACATAGGACCCAGAGTCTGAATTTAGTTGTGTGCGGGATAGGAGATAGGTGAAAACAGAAATGATCTGAGCACTCAAGCCTCAAATGCAGAATAATATACGATTAATCAAACATGCATAAATTATAAATAAAATTGAGTAAGGTAATGCTGATGGAACATCATTAGAACATGGTTACAATCTCATAAAAGTTTATTTTAGATAATATGTAACACTGCACTTACTCTGGTCTGGTCTCATTTGTCCTGAGGGGCGCCGCAGGGGGGTCCCAGACACCACAACCGAAGAGGCTCTGCCGTGGTACCCCACTGGCAACCGCAGCCTACAACACAAGAAAAATATACAGTGAGATAACATTCAGGACATCAGTATAAGATTCATTGATTTTCTTTTGAGATATTCCCAATCAGTGACTCAAATAAAAACAGTGGTAAAATGCACCAGTTTGGCATGAGCGCGTTTTCTTTCCCTCGGAACATGATCCCCACGTTGGTGGCATGGTCTCGGGAGGAGTAGAAGTCTGTGTAGTCCCCTGGAGAGATGTGACAGAGCCAAGACCAATCAATACAGATAATGAAACTGCTGGACTGATGAGTGCGGACAGAGTGGACAGAGCAGAGGTACTCACCGATGTGTGCTGGGAGGTGCATGGTGGCAGTGCTCTGGGGAATGAACGCTCTGCAGACAAATAAAACTTATCAGAACTCAATTTTGTTCTGTTTGTATTAATTATTTATCTATTCACAGAAATAGTCCTGCTCCCATTCAAAAAGGGAAAACTGTAATTGAATATTGATAATTTGCAGTGACATCACATGTATCTCTAATGGTAGAATGTTTAGGAGTTACCACAGTGCACCAAAAACTCAAAAAAAAAAAAAAAAAATACACAATGGATTTAAACCACAACCTGTGATTAAAACAAGTGTCCATGGTCCTGTTAAGGTGAGAGTGACAAACTGAGAAACTGTTTACTTGTGATCGTTAATTTTATGTGTGAGAGAAAATAAATAAATAAATATCAGCCTCCCTGTTGTAGTTCCAATCAGTCAGATTTTCTGCTCAGATTGTGTTTAAATAAAGCTCAGACTGAAGTCTGATTTGAGTAACAGAGATGATATTAACTGTTCTCAATTCTACTATGCTCATTGTTTATATTCTTGGGCTTTGGGTGTAGTTGCTATGGCAATGGAGGACCACTGCCATCACTTGAAACTCACAGATATGTTGTGATATAGACTGTCCATCATTTACTGACCTGGCTCGCAGCTCGCAGTCGTCCCTCAAAGTGCTGTGATTGGCCGAGAGCAGTGTCTGCAGTGTCCTCCTGGTCTCCCTCCAGGCCTCGTGACCCAGGGACATGAAGGCATTGAGTGTCTCCTGTGAACAGAAGAAGCCATTACACTAGGCGTGTCACATTAACAGATTTCAAAGCCTGATATATTGCTACATTGATATACTATGATAAATGGTCATTTTGAAACAATTTTATGCCATAAAAGACATGAGCTGCAACAAATAAACAGCAAAATGAAACTAATTCACCACAGTAAATGACTTTTTCAACCTTCTACAGCTCAAATATTTTCGTATTGCAACAAAAATACCAAAAATCTCCCCATTATTGCAAAGAAACTGTACACACAGTAAATATTGATCCTCAAAGTACATTGATCCAGCTTTCAGATACAGTAATTACTATATTATATACAATTATCGTGACAGATTTACATTACACTATCCCTCCCTCACACACAGAGAAGGGGGGCATTTTGGACACCTGCTCACCTGCTCAAAGACATCCTGGTGCTTAGACATGACTGGGCCTTGGAAAAGGGACTTGATCACACTGAGGATCAGGATCTGGTCGCCAATAGCAACACCAATACGATGTTTGGGCTGTAGGAGACAAATAAAAAAATGTTTTAAATCACATCCTTAATTAAAAGAGCCTGTAACCAATCCATATATTTGAGCTGAATTGTACGTAAATCACGTACATTGTTGTTAAGAATGTTATGAAGGATTTTGGGAATCACTAGTCTAGATCAAAAAAAGCAACAGTGGCTCAGTGGGTAGATGGTTCACCCATAAACCTGTAGGCTGATGGTTCAGTTATCTGTGCATACTCTTTGGACAGGACACTTCACCCACTTGGCCTCTGAATAAATGTGGTGTGAGGGTGATTTAGAAATACACTAAAATGCTTCATGTTTGCATTCTACAATCAAATTGTCCAACGGAAGACAAGAGCCTCTAAGGGAGACCCTTTGTTTTTGAAAGAAATATCGAAAATCAAAACCCATGTTAAAGGTGCATTGTCTAACTTTTCTGGTGGGGGGTTCATCAAATGCCTTTCTCCATAGAGAAAGTTGCCAATTTACAGGTCAGATCTGTGGAGAAGCAACCACGATCATAGTCAGAATGGCTGTTTTTCTAGGTATTTTTGAGTTATAAAACCACCTGTGATTTAATAAATGAATGGTAGAGCTGTTTGATACTGTGGAACATTCCACACAAAGCAATAACATATCCATAGAAACAAGCAGATGATGGACTTCCCAACCAAAAAGTTTCATAACGCACCTTTAAAGTCCTTCAAACTGACAACAATCACATCTTTGGTTTTCAATAATGGCACCACTGAAGCTATTAAAAAAAACACTGAACTTTGTGGTCATTTTTTTTTTCATATGTATAGGTTCAGTAATAACAAGATATGAAACATACAAACAAGCCAGGTCACAAAATCTGAAATTTGACACTTAAACAGCTAATTTCACCTTAGATTTCTGACTTGTACTCCAAGTTTTAAACTACAGGAATTCTAGAATGCTGTGATGGCACATGAACCAAACATATTAATAACTGGATCTCAAACACTAAAGAGCTGTACCTTAGATTTATTAATTACATTTTTATAGTATACATATTTTTCTGCTTAAAAATACCTAGAAAAACAGGCATTCTGACTGTGAGCGGCATCACCTCTCCACAGATCTGACCTGTAACTTGGTCTGGTTTGGTCTCCATGAAGATAGAAAGTTTTAATACCATACTGTGAAACATTCCAGACAAAGCAATTAGATGTCCATGAAGAAAAGCATTTGATGGGCCTTAGACCAGATAAGTTATACAATGCACCGTTAAGCATCGCTGATCCCGGCTGGACTAGAACTGTCCATGCACAGTACTTACACAGTTGGCCGTAGAGAAGACTCCATAGGGCAGGTTGTGGATGGAGAAGTCACTGTCTGGAGGTACCTGGATGAACGACATGTTTGCTCTCTCTCCTCTCCGGGCTCTGGCACTGAGTGAGGAGAAACATTTCCAGATGTGAGGAGCAGACTTTGCACAGGCCCGCCTCTCTGCTTTCAGCCAATCACAGAGCAGCCTGACGGTCCACCCCTATAGGACTAATGCAAACCAGCCCGCAGTGACTCAGCAAAACAGTGCCACCCTCCTGCTCTGAGGGGCACTGAGGTTTAAAGCAACTGGACAGAGAGCACACGAGGTGCTATCCTCACAGAAGGACTGGACTAGGGCTAAACTAAGACGAGGGCAGGGCTGAGTGAATGCACCCTTATTTTTAATGAATTCTGGAGGTGTAACTTTCCAAACCAAAGTAATTACCATCAACACCAAGTTTAACCTTTACATTCCCCCAAAAATATTTTGGAGTATTAAGGTTTATGTTTTTGCGGTTGATTTGTAAATTGTCCGACTTGGTGACTGCTGACCTGGTCAGTGGCCACACACTACATCAAATTCACAACTTATTCACATTATTCATTGTGCATTAGAATCAACTCAACTGTCCGCCAAGTGCATGAATCCTGTAGTGCCAGCAGATGGCAATATTCTGCTGCGTTTTGAAACTAGCCTTACTCCAAACAAACAGAAGAAGAAATAGAAGTTAGCAGGGCTAATGGTTAACAAGTTTACCTAACCCTTGCTTTACCCTGGTGATCTGCGGTACGTAGCCTTGCTGATCGTCCCGGTGCGGGCAGAGACGTGGTGCGTTCCTCTGGGCACACTGGAGCAGACCGGACACTGTGCAGCAGAGCCAATGGCAGCAGCAGCAGCAGCTGTGCGCGCTGCGAAGCAGAGCCTCCGGAGAGAGATCAAGAAGCGGGTCGCGGCTCTGAGCGAACCAGAGAAACAGCGACAGTCCCAGGCGGTGTGTCAGAAAGTAAGCCTCATGCTATATTTGTATGTCCACTCCTGGGTACAGAGAGCTGTGGACTTCAGTCTGTTTACTCTGCTCTTCTGCAGCTATATCAGGGGTATCCTAACTTTTTTCCTGTGAGCTACCTTTACAAAGGGAAAATGCCAAATATTCATTTTAGCAGTCACAAGAAACTGAATATAGGAAAGCCTTAGATGGGGAACAGTTAGATACCTATAAAACATAAATCATTATCCCTTTATGAGTGCACAAAGTTAGTTATTTACAATGTCAGTTTATCAAATTTGATTCATTCAGCACAGTATGTATAATTTAGAAATCCTTTACTTAGAAGGGGGTGGAGAGCTACTCTTACCTCCCGAGCTACAGGCTGGAGACCCCTGAGTTAGATGGACCTCATTGTAAGCATGAATAATAATAAATATGTAGTCTTCAATTTAGGTTATTATCCGATCCCCACCCTTATTATTAGTATTCTATCGTACTGTACAGTTATAGTGAGCAATAGTAATGTCCATGTGGCAGGAGCCCTGATGTCCTCCTCTCCCTCCTGTGTCTTCTGTCCAGCTGCTGTCTCACCCTAAGTACCTGTCTAGTGAGCGCGTTGCCGTGTTCCTGAGCATGGACGACGAGGTGCGCACGGACTCCATCCTGAAGCACATGTTTGCGGCGGGGAAGAGCTGCTTCATCCCGCGGTACGAGCGCTCCAGCAGCCACATGGACATGCTGCGGCTGAGCTGCGAGGCGGACATCCACAACCTACCGCTCACCTCCTGGAACATCCGCCAGCCCGGGGACGACGAGGCGCGAGAGGAGGCTCTGGACACAGGTCTGAGCGCCAAATGTAATACCTACTTATGACAGCAGATGGCGCCAGAACTTCAGTCATAAAGAAACACAATTGAACGCTGACATTTTTCACAGTTTCTATTCTATAATTGCTTGTTTATTAGCTCATTAATAATTCTTAAATCTTTTTTTAAGGTGCATTATATGTACCGTATTTTTATAAGTCGCTCCGGAGTATAAGTCGCACCAGCCAAAAAATGCGTAATGAAGAAAAAAACATATATAAGTCGCACTTTTTGGGGGAAATTTATTTTCTAAAATCAGGGACCTGGAATCGACATTTTATCTTGAAAGGCAATTATAGTAATAACAACAGAATAAAGAACAACAGGCTGAATAGGCGTTAATATGTTAACGTATCATATTAACAATTATTCAGATAACTAGTAGCATAAACAACATAACATAAGTTTACTAAACTCTCGTCTCACTCCAGATCATTAAATCCATTGAATCCATTGAATTCTTTATCCTCTGTGTTACTTCTGAGCAGCTCCATGCAACTTCAGTTGTCACTGAAGTCCATGCTTTGTCATCCAATGACTTCCAGGAAAGTTGCATGGTGCACCCTCCCGGTTGCTGTGAAGCTATGTTCTCCATTCCCGCTTTCTGCCAGTCCCTACCAGTCGCTCACTCCAAACTATCTTTCTGCTGCTCGATTACCGTTTTCTGCTGCCTATTTCACTACTTGCAGCAGGACAGTAGCTTTTTTCTGCAGGAGACATGTGCAGAAAACTGATACACGAGCCTAGAGTGCCCTATCGTGGCTCTCAGTTTGAAAATATTAATATATAAATCGCACCGAAGTATAAGTCACAGGACCACCCAGACCATGAAAAAAAGTGCGGCTTATAGTCCGAAAAATATGGTACATATGGCATTAAACGTATCTGTCCTTTTTTTTCTTAGTCAGAAAAACATTTTAAAAAGTATCTACATATCCTTGGAGGTAGGATAAGTTTAATGTGACATTGTGGAAATTCCAGGCAAAACTATAACATGCAACACAGAGTGCATAATGTAGAATTTGCATGCAGACACTTATATGCACATGGTATTGCTAGTAGTGCCATAATGCAAAAATTTCTAACTTGATTTTGAATCATATATTCTGTCTTATTTATGACTGTAACTTCTTGTATGCCTTTTCTGTGTGGATCAGGCGGTCTGGACCTGATCCTGATGCCCGGTCTTGGGTTCGATCTCTCTGGGCGGCGTCTGGGGCGAGGTAAAGGCTTCTACGACACGTACCTGGAGCGCTGCATGGCACACCCGCGTGGCAAACCCTACACCATCGCACTGGCATACAGGGAGCAGATGTGTGAGCAGGTGCCCGTGGACCAGAGAGATGTGCTGATAGACGAGGTGCTGTACGACGACCAGCAGGGGGCACTGTGAGAAAACTCTGCTAATGGAAATCATCAAATCAGTGGACACACCAAACACAGGAGTACTGCAGTGATCACAAAAGATGTACTGTACATGAAGTAATTATGAAAATCATCAAATCAGTGGACACACCAAACACAGGAGTACTGCAGTGATCACAAAAGATGTACTCTACCTCAAGTAATTTTCTTAAAGTGATTGAGTAAAGTAATTGTCTTGAAAATAGAATATCAAATAAATGTATCAAATGTGCCATATTTATTATTTATTTTTTTGGTGTTTTCAAATTTCATTGTGTTTTTTTTATACATCTTGCAAGTAGGGTTATCAAAAGTATCACAAATCAAATACTAATCATTACTAAAACTACTACAGAAACTAGATTTTACCAGGTATCAATATTAACAGTCACATTCACAAGACAGACATGAACCTTTCCTGAATGTCTTTAGAATGATCTTGAGCTGTATCAGAACAAGTATAAGAGCACATAGACTAGTATACACCCATGGACCACTATGGAGCCTACCTGGACCTCTGAGGGATTACAGAGATATAAGACCACAGGGGAATATAAAAGAAAGCACTGCAATTTAATGTGGCAAAATAAATAAGGATTGTTTTTATTCTGTCATCATGGTATTGGTATTGTGTATTGACAAAGTTAAAAATTATTTATGATAAATAAATTGGGCAGTTCAGTTCACAATCTTTGCCTCAAAATTTTTGATTTACTTTATTTAATATTTATGCTATCTGTGTAGCGTGGTTTTGCTTTTTGGAACTACAGCTTCTAAGGATGTAACAGTAACAAAAATATTGTGATATCGTATCAAAAGTCTCTCAGTAATATCGTAATATCACAGTATATCGAATCACAAGTTTCTTTGCTTAAATTAATTGTGATGGTGCATCAATAGTTAAAGAGAAAGAGGGAACTATAATCCTTTGCCCCGTTTTGGTGCAAACTAAACGAAGAAATAATAGTTTTAAGCACTTTTAAATTTTAGTTCTTTGAATTAAGTTTTGTCAAGACATTTTAAAAGGAAAAAGAAGCATATTGACAGTTTTGTTAGCCTCCACCAAATACCGCAATAAATACCGTAAGATGTATATCGTGAAAATACAGTACTGTGAGATTTAGATATCGTTACATCCCTAACAGCTTCTCAAGAAATGTAATGTAAATGCAATTTTTTGGATTGTCCAAATGTAAAGACAAGGAAAATAAATCTCAGATGGCAATGTGGCCTCTTGAGATCTTGTGGCAGGAGCTCTTGTTCCATCTCTACCTATAACTGAAGATAAATTCATTTAATTCTGTGGAAGATTCCGGTGCTCCTTAATGTGACTCCACACTGCTCCAACCACGTTTTATTTACAATGCATTTGCAGCTGATCACCAGCCTTGATGTGTGAAACTTCTAATGTCTACAAAAGTGGTTACCAGAGTTCTATTATCTTGCCTTCTATTACAATCAGCAGATGATTTTCTTGTCCATTCAGCAACAGTATTTTACATTGAAATAGCAGAACATTTCTCATTGACGAAATGTAGTTGGTGCACTGGCCTAACTGCTGCACACTCCCTCCGCCTTCTGGAAGCAGATCAGAGAGCGGCTTCGGCCCATAGTATCGCCACAGTACTACAGATGACATTCTTTTCTCTCCTCTGTTCCTATACGCACACACACACATATATATGCACACACACACAGACACACACACACATAATGAGAGAGAGAGAACCGCCATCCCGTATAGGAGGGTATTTGGCGTGCTCTGCGCCATTAGAGCGAGAGGGGGCCATATACGCCTGACCTCCCCTGCGCGTGGAGGTGCCAGGTTAATGAGTGCGTAAAAGTCCGCAACTTTAAATTAGCGCAAGAGGAGAATGAGCCCTGCAGCCGCCTCTTTATAAACTTTTATGAGTTTATAAGGGACCGACGCATTTCTGGGTCCCTGTGTAAGCCGCTCTGTCCTCTATGACCAGGTATAATTCTAATCTTTTAGCTCTTATTCATGAAAATATCCAGATTCCTAAATCACTGATCTTTTTAGTGCCTCTATCTGACTGTGAGCCCGGCACCGCTTCTCTCGCCACACGCTGAGCTTCACAGCGCATTCTCGTGCTCCCTAGTCTTTGGCGACAGGTAATGTATGTCTACTGCTCCTGTCCATTCACAAAAATGTCCAAATTGTCACACAATTCAGTTTTTCGTAGTTTCTCTGCTTGGCCGTATCATTGAGCCTTGAACCAAATGCGCGTCACCGCTCGCCTCCATCTGCAGTGTCAGGTAACGCCCCGTAACCTCTTCATTCATAAAAGTTCCAGATTCTTACGCGTCTGTGGACCATCAACCCAAATGGCAAATCCACAAATGCCATGTGGAATTGTCAGACTCTCAAATCTTAATTCATTTATGGTCAATAGGACAAGACTGTTCCAGATAGCACCAGTCAATCATGTCAACAAGCCGTACATTAAGAAACCTCCTAATGCCTTCATGCTGTATAAGGCTGAGCAGAGGGAGAGTATTATGGAGGAATTTAATATAAGAAATTCAGCGGAGGTGAACAAAATTGCTGGGGTGAGATGGAAAATGCTTTCAGACGATTAACAAGCCTCATATTACGAGCAGGCAGAAGTGGCTAAGAGGGAACATCAGGCCAGGTTTCCAGACTGGTCCGCCAAAGATAACTTTGGGTGGAAGAAAAGGCAAGGCAAGGCAACAGCACCTGCAACTTCCAACCAACCAGCTCGCTTTCAGACTATACTGCAAACCAGAAACAATGGTGAGGCCGACCAACCAGACAACAGATATTAACCGCTCTGTCACCCTTGGCCAGCCAGCGGCCTATACTCAAGTAATGATTGTGTCATCGGCCAGTCAGCTAACCACAAACACGGCAACAATGGTACCACCGAGCAACCAAGCAACACTACAACAACCGACCCAATGGCACCCACAACAACCAACCCAGCAGCACCCACAACTACCAACCCAACTGCATCCGCAACAAATGACTCTGCAGCACCCACAACAACCACTCCACCTGCACCCACAATAATCAACCCAACAGCACCCACAACAACCACCCCAGCAGCACCCACAACAATCAACTGAAAGCTGGACTCACTTCAAAACAGACTAGATTGCCGGACTCCCATAATTCACCATTTACAGTTTTAATAAAAGAGTTTAGATGCAACTAGCGATGTTTCCTGTGCAGTTTCTAATGCAAAAACTAACGACAAGAGTAACGTATGACATATTTTCACATTTTACTAATTCTAGTTATTATTACTTTTGCTTTGGTTTGGTGGGATAGTGGTAAATATAGTTTTACATCAATTAAGTTTGTGCAAAAAAAAAAAAAAAAAAAGTGAGAATAAGTACAAGTACAAGAAAATCAAGTCATCAAAGACACAGAAAATTTTATCCAAAAGATAACCATTGTGTAATTTAGACCTTAGAAGTCTTGACTCTTATTAAAGGGACATAGGACCTCATTTCCTAGTGAGCCAGAGTGTTGGAGATGTGTGGAGACACTTTTTCAAATATTTCATCCAGTCCTTGTATTTGCAGAGATTACTGGTGTGTGTTACTAGTGCATGTCAATGGCCATAGTTAGCCTGCCACTAAAAACAGTCTTACTCACTCCACAAAACACCAGAAGCAAATCTATTATTACACCAGACTGTCAATGTAAATGTCTGTGTTGATAGAATAATGTTTGAAATAAAACTAACCTTACATCGCATGAATCGTCACATGTTGAGGGACTATTTTCTCAGCAGCAGCAGAATTTAACTTTACTGGTAAGATTGGTGCTAGGTGATATCAGTCTGCCGCTGTCAAGCTTTCTGTCAGGAATTACAACTACCTCTGCTCAGACACAAATCCTTGAAATGCAAGGATGATTTTACTTCTAAATTTATTCTACTGACACAGACATTTATAAATAAATAAATATGTTTGTGTGTCTTTCCAATCAGAACCCTTCCCTACTGCCAGACGTTCAGCGGAATTAAATAAAGCCAGTTTCACGTGTTTTCCATGTAAACCTTAATTCGGAATTATTATTTCCATGTAAACTTGAAGGAGAATAATTTAATTCCAAATGAATAATTAAATCGAAAACAAAACAAACAAAAAAAACAACAACATGTAAACGTGGCCACAAGTTTAGTGATAAAGCTGTTATAAAGATAATTATATAATATTAGAACATCATATACTTTATTAAGCAGAGTTAATACTCTTACTATGTTGCTATCATAACATAACAGAGTGTAGGTGTAGGTGAGAGTCAGAGAAGAGAATGTTTATTTATTTAATGAGACTGGCCCACTGCACCATATACATTAACCTTAACAACAGAGATAACATTGTACCAGGCTGTAGCACTAGTGCTCATTCCCACTTGCAGTCCCCGGGCAGGCTCATGTTATAGTTCATAAAACCATTTAAGGAAAAGAGCATTACATTTGATCAGACCACTGTAGAAGTTCTGTAACATCATTCACATCCAGTCCTTTCAGCAGCATAAAGTACACATTCTTTTCTCTAGAACATCTCACCATCTCCAGATACATTCATATCATTTCACAGAAGAGGAGTATAGCGGATGACACATAGAAGAACACACAGGGAAGCAGAGAGCAGAGGTGTGGTGGTATGGAGTGATAAGAGTACAGGAGTGTTTATGGAGGTGATCAAAGTCAGCAGGACCACACCTCTTCACCGGTGTCATACTAGTGCAGAGGTGTGGTCCTGTGGTATGCAGCTCCTACTCACACAGACTACTGCCCACCCTCAACTGGATATTAAACAGTCATTAACCTACAATTATTTGAAAGGAACACTGTGAACCGCTATCTTATCTTATTAATGTACCTTATTTATTAATTTATTAAAGTACAGCTGTTATTGTTACAAAAATACAAAGACATTACTCAATAATTAGGTCAGATTTTTGGTGTGTGTTCACATGCACAAAATAAAAAGCTGATCCTAAAAACACTTGACATAATTTGGTGGGGTAATATGTGTTTTAAATATAAATTATAGTTTAACACCAATTCAGAAACAATGTGTGAATATTATTTTTTTTTTTAATGCTTGAAAAAAATGAAAGGAAGTATAGAGTTCTGTTTTAAAGAGTTCCATAGGGAGAATTCTATCCAAAAGTGAAGCACAATTTACATGCAAGAAATACATTTTTACTTCAGACATTATTTTAATTTTCTTTATCAATTAATAATTTCCTGTTACATTAAAGGAGTGTGGTTGCTAGGTAACAGTTCCCTAGCATGATGTCAAGATTTCTGACCAAGAAGTAAAATATGAAACCTGAAAAATTGCCAAACTAGGCCAAAAAATCTTAAATATAATGTTCTAACTGTGGTTTTAGTCAAATGAGGATAACTTGTCATAGGCGCTTTAAATGCTTTATTGAGTTTTAAATCTTAAAGGTTAGACTTTAATTAGTTTGAGACTCGCACTTGCATAAAGACCTGATAGTAGCAGATGCATGAGACTGTGTGCGTCATGCTCTGGGCAGGGCTGTGTGTATCAGGGGGTTGTTAAATACACCAGTCCTACTTTAACCCATGCTCTGTGCTTCTCTACTCTGCTCTCCACAGCTCTGACGCTCTCTGCTCCTCTCAGGTAAGTCTCCAAATGCATAAATCTATCCACTGTACTAAGGCTGCAAACAACTAAATATCCTGTGTTATTCTGCATAAAAAACTATTAACCCTGTAGTTGAAATCTGTTAAAACAAAGTGAAAGGTGATTTTTATATCTTTAATCTTTAATCTTTAATAGAAGAATAAAAGAATATCGAAACAAAATTAAGTGCAGTCCTTGTTCAGTGCAAAGGTAGCAATAAATATTTAAAGATAAAAAGATAGTATCACTTTGGACATTATCCCAGCCATACACATCCACATTTGATAGCACCATTTAGAGAATTTTTTGTATTCTGATTGTCCTGGTTTTCATGAACCTGTATTAGTCTGTTTATTCATATTTCAGCCTTTTTGTCAAATCTGTTTTGTTTTAAGTTTTGTTTTGTTTCATTCACACATGTTTAACACACAAACATTGCAGGGTTTGGCTGAGTTTTCCCTCAAACAGAAAACACTATGGGTCATACAGGAAGTGCTCCACTGTGTTTTTAAACTCCATGCACCTTCACTAAGATCATTTGGATGATTTCAGTCCTGGAATTGCCAACTCTTAACTTGAAAACTACAACAACATGACATCACATGGAGGAACAGAGCATTTAGAGCTTTGGAGATGTAGACAGACTCAAACATGTGTGAATGAATTAAAACACAACTCCAGGTAGGTTTTTTAGAAGGCAACATAACATGGCTTAAAGCTCAGAAGAATTTTATGTAATATAAGACCTTCAGAAGTCCATGGTTCAGTCTCCCACTCCACTTGCATTGTTCTTGTTATCAGCTTAGTAAGGGAAATTCTTTTTTATTTGAATAATGATCCAGTTGGCTGTTGTGTCCATGTGATTGTATAATGACAGGGAATACCGCTGTCTGGGTGTGATCTTTAGTCAGGACTGATAAGGCATCCAAGAATTTATGGCTGTGTAGAGGGGAGTGGACAGGGGGACAAAGGCATCTGTTGTCCCGGGCCCAAGCGTCTTAAAGGCCCAGAATCTGAGACTATTCCGATTCATTTATATTCATGGGGGGCCCATGCGGAGGTGTCTTGCCCCAGGTCCCCAAATTTCTGACGACGGGACTGACTGTGTAAAGGACTGTCTGTGTTCGCTCTGGGCATTCTGTGTCATATATTAACTACATTACTCTGTGTATGTGTGTGATTTTTTTTTTTTTTAATGATCAAATATGGAACCTCGACAACATAAAACTTGTATTGAAACTAGGTAGATAGCTTTAGAATGATCTTGAGCTGCATCCGACCAAATGGACTAGTATACGCCCATGGACCCCTATGGAACCAACCTGAGAGATTGCATAAGGCCACATGGTAATATAAAAGAAAGTACTATGATTTAATCTTGCATATTAGATTATACTGTGTAAATAAAGCATGTTTTTATTATCATTGTGGTATTAGAAATGTGAAATTTTAGTATCATAACAACACTACTTGGATGTCCCATGTTGGATTTGATTAGCTGACAAACAAATGAAGTAAGACAGAACAGTTGTATTAAAATCTAAAGGCTGGTTGGCACATAGAACCCAGTTAGTGGTCAAGGCTAGTATTGTGTTCTTGAGCAAGACATTTAAACTGCCATACATGCATGAGTGTGGTGGTGTGGTGAGGCCATTAAAGCACATGGGAGCAGAATGGCAGTCATAATACAATACATTTTTTCATTATAGATGGGACTGAAAAAAAGTAGAAAAACATGCACCCTTCATCTGAGTGGGCTTGCATCTCCACAAACCTGACTCTGATTTGGGCTTGGGGGGGCTCTTCCTGCTTGTTTCTATGGAAGTGCTGTCCTTTGGCTATAATATTCTAGCCTGATTCATCAGCCAGTTTCACTTTGTAGAAACTGTCTGACCTCGCAGCATTAGAATTCGTTCACTCAACTATAGGCGGATTTTTAAAATTTAACCAATCGCTGCTATTTGGTTGTGACGTATGTCTAACGGGGCTAACTGGTATATTAAGATTTTACCAAATCCCATAGGAAGAAGGGCAATGACGTCTTTTCCCTTGATAAAATTCACCAAACATTCTCTTTGTTCCGGCTTTAAATCCTCGATCTCGGGAATCTTTGCCAAAAGAGAATGTATGTCTTTTCGCTGATTGGCTGGTGCCTGGACTCACACTTCTGGGGTTCTTGCAAACCGTCTAGTGTATTCTGATTTCTGACCTAGTCACTGGAGAGAAATTAAATTGAGCAGAGGCACTAGGTGGCGCCAGCCTGAGTAATAATATTCCACTGTATGGCATAAAATATATTTATGTTCATGGAGTATGGTTTTAATTTTTATCTCCATGGAATCATGCAGTTGACTTTCCACCCCTAGAAAGTTACATTTTATCACTTTAATATTGTTTATTTGGTCATCAAGAACTATGCAGTGAGGCCTCAGTTTAAAGGTGCATTGCGTAACTTTTCTGGGTGTTTTGTATGGGCATTGCTTTACCTGGACTGTTCCACACTATAACATTACAGCTCTACCTTATATTTATCCAATTGCAGGTGGTTTTATTGCTATAGTTACAGGCATTCTGACTGTGAGCAGTGAATGTGATTGCCTCTCCACTGACCTGACCTGTCACTTGGTCTGGTTTAGTCTCCATGAAGATAGACAGGAAATCCCATATTGTGAAACATTCCAGACAAAGAAATAACATCTCCATGGAGAAAAGCATTCGGCGGACTCTCCACCACAGAAGTTACACAAATAACCTTTAAGTAAAACGTCAGGCAGGAGTGAAACCGTGGCGAGGAGGGGTTTGTGCCGTTGCCATGACGACCCTCTCTTCCTGGTCAGGTTGGAGAGGGTAATCATTGGTCCTTATCAGCTGAGACACACCCTGCTCAGTAAACCTAACACGCCCTTCTCTCCCTTTTTTTGTATGTCCATGTGTGTGTGTGTGCATGGGTGTGTGTGTGTGTGTGTGTGCATGTGTGTGTGGGTTTGTGTGTGCATGTGTGTGCATGTGTGTGTGCAGGTAAAGCATGGCGCTGGTGTCTGAGTTCCTGGGTCAGCTGACTTTGGCGCACACTGGGGTAAGTCCAACTGTCCGCACGTGTCTATCCTGTGACTTTTTCTCCTTTGCACTCACTCTAACTACTGGACCTTTCTATCTGTATCTTCGACAATATTCAGGTACTTTTTTCAGCCTAAACCCTTTTGTCTCGATCCAAATGGGGTTGTAGTCTTTATAGTGCTGCAAATGACCAAATAAACTACTACTACTATTACTAAATATAAGTGTACTCAAAGTTAAAGTATCTGGATAATCTTGTTTTGGACAATATTGAATGGTTAAGTAAATTATTGCAGTAAACTCCTTCAAATAGTAAACATAGCTAGTGTTTAACCTTGTCCCTTGTCTCTCCGTTTGTCTCTATCCCCTGTCCTCTGTCCCCTGTGCTCTGTCCTCTGCCCCCATACCGTATGCCTCTGTCCCTTGTCCTTGTCCTCTGTCCCCTGTCCCTTGTCCCTGTCCTCGATCAATGTCCTACATCCCTATCCTGTACTCTGTCCTCTGCCCCCTGGTTCTGTCCCTGTTTCCTGTCTCTTGTCCCTGCCCCTGTCCCTTGTCCCTGCCCTCGGTCCCTGTCCATGTCCCTATCCTTTGTCACCTTTACCCTGTCTTCTGCCCCGTTTCTATCTGCATCCTCCATCCCTTGTCCCTGTCCTTTGTTCCATGTACCCTGTCCTCTGCCCCCTGCTTCTGCCCCGTCCGATGTCTCTTGTCCCTGTCCCATGTCCCTATCCTTTGTCACCTGTACCCTGTCCTCTGCCTCCTGCTTCTGCCCCGTCCGATGTCTCTTGTCCCTGTCCTTGGTCCTTATCCCATGGTCACTTGCACCTTGTCCTCTGCCCCCTGCACCCTGCTTCCGTCCCCATCCTGTCTCTTGTCCTCGGTCCCCTGTATCCTGTTCTTTGCCGTCTCCCTCTGCCCCCTACCCCCTGTCCCCTGTTTGTAGGAGAAGGAGCCTAAATTCCCCACAGTGGTGCCAGTCCGAGACTTTGACCCAGCCCGCGACGCTGCGGATCGACGCTGCCATTAAAACTAAAGGTTGAGCACACTTACGAAACCAGTCAGTTAGTTCCATTGTTTATATACTGTTAAAGGTGGAGCAGAGTTTGTTTAATGTCTGCATGTTTAAGTTGTCTTTTGGTGTGAGCATCTGCTTGGCTGGGATCCAGAATACACTTCTCGGATACTTTATGAAGAAAAGTCTGGTCACTGTTGAATCTCATAGAGTTCAGATGGACACTGACTTTCAACTTCTAACAGACATTCAGTCACACCAACAGAAATACAGATTTAAAATAAAATCTGTAAAATCCCTAAATTAGAGTTTAGAGTTATGATAAATCCTTGGTCACCCTCCCCCTTATATTGCATGCATTAAACAGTCTAATAGCTGTAGGTAAAAAGGACTTCCTGAGTGTGTCCTTGGAGCAGACCTTATCACAGGGGGACTGCTGTGGTCCATGACAGCAGCTTGTTTAATGTTCTTTCTATCACAAATCCCAAAGTTCATGAGGCTACTGCCTTCCTCTCCCTTTCTCTATGTTAAAAATGCAGTGAGAAGGAAGTTCTGTGTAAGCAAACTGAGCCTTGTGTGTCTCTGTGTCTGACCTTCTTCAGGTGTGGATGAGCAGACCATCGTTGACATCCTGACACACCGAAGCTGGGAGCAGAGGAAGGAGATCGCCTTTGAGTATGAACGATTCTCTAAGAAGGTAACTCTCCTGGACACATGCTTTTACTGTCCTATCTTCATCACCCTGTCTTTAGTCCTCACTGTGTGTGTGTGTACTTGTAGGATCTGGGTGCTGCCCTGAAGGGGGCGCTCTCTGGGTCTCTGGAGTCTCTGATGTTGGGTCTGCTCAAGAGCCCTCCAGAGTACGATGCTACGGAGCTCATGGGCTCCATGAAGGTTTGACTCTTTTTATCCACATTACTGGAGTGAATGGCCTGGACATTCATTTAAAACAGGAAACTATATTCACAACTGAGCCTGGGTTGCCAGTACCTGAACCTGCAGATAGAGGACACATACACATTTTCCACATTCTGAATATATGAATATGTGCCCTGACTCTTGTGAAAGCTCAGAACCTCCAAAATTCTGTCACTGAGCTGCAGAGGCTGCATTAGCACTGATTCATAATTGGGTTGATGGGACGATTCAGACCAGAGAGAATAATTTTAGGTTTTAACCAAATGTATTTCAGCATTGAAACTCTTGAGGCTCATTCTGCTTTCTGATTGGATAATCTTCAGAAAACAAAATACATAAACAACTTGGCCATCATGTGCAATGTTTTTATAATGAACATTAAAATTGTTACCAGTAATTAGAACATTTTTACCTTGTAATTGGGGATAGAGATATCATGTTCATGAAATCTGAAATATCAATATACAAATTCTTCATATCCTCCCTATGTGTGATATGTGTGTACAGGGCCTGGGCACAGATGAGGAGACTCTCATTGAGATCGTCTGCTCCAGAAGCACAGAGGAGATGCTAACCATCAAGAGGCTCTACAGAGAAAGTGAGTGCTACTAGCACACAGACATGTTTTTATAGAAAGGGTTGGACTTTGTTGGGAGAAACCTGTTTTTCATTTGTCCTCCTGATGTCTTTGTCCATGGAATTGTGTGCAGTGTTTAAGAGGGAGCTGGAGAAGGACATAGCCGGAGACACTTCAGGGAACTTTGCCAAACTGCTCCTGGCCCTGGTTCAGGTCAGACACTTTGTCCTCTGCTCTCTGTTCAATCCTGTACAAATCTTTCACTTTACATCAGGACCATGAGTCTAACCCCAGTGTCTGTGCCCCTCAGACCAAGAGAGATGATCCGACCAATGTGGTGGACTATGAGAAGATTGATGATGACGCACGGGTGGGTTCAAACACACAAGTAGATCATTACACTTTGTAGACCTGGATTTTTTAGCAAAGTATCAGAAAGTTCTTTAGAAAACAAGTTAGTATGTCAAAATGACATTACAATTGAATATGGCTCTAAAAATATGATTATGATCAGGTTTTAGAACAGGACCAAATCAAGTGTACATCAGGACTAAAATGTGTACTGCTGTGTGCCAGGCTCTGTATGACGCAGGGGTGAAGAGGAAGGGCACAGACGTGGTCACATGGATCACCATCATGTCCCAGAGGAGTGTGCCCCACCTGCAGAGAGGTGTGATATACAAGACACTACAAGCACTACTGAACCTGTGCTGCTAGTGCCTTAACCTGCACACAGAGGACACACAACACAAATACAAGTTTTTACACAAGTTTTTTCTCATTCCCAGTATATGGACAGTGCATGTCTCATGTGAAAGCACAGAAGCTCCAAAATTCCCCCACTGACCTGCAGAGGCTGCACTCGCACTGATACATGACTGACTGCAAGTGCTGGGGTGTAGGTAGTGAGGATTTAAATCAGAGAGAGGCATTTTAGCTTCTTGGGTTCTTTTTAAAGACAGTAAAGTGCATTTACTTTGTTGACATGTTTAGGCTGCTAGCTGTAAGCCATCTTCAGAACTGTCTCCAGTGTTGGTGGTGATGTGTCTTTAAAAAGAACCCAAGCAGTTAAAGTACATAAGAAAACAAAATGAACATCTTTGGCTTAATAAGAGTCATTTTAGGTTTAAACCAGGTAGATTTCAGCATTTACACTGGCAACCCAAATGAAAGACTCACGTGAGGCACATTCTGGTTTCTGATTGGGAAAACATCTTGAGAAAAACACACAATTTATAACAATGTGGGCATTATGTTGAATGTTTTTTTTTTTTTTAAAGAATAACTTAATATTGCATTTGATTTAAACATGTTCACCTTGTGTCTGGGGACCCTGATAGATCATGTATAAAATTTGACATCTTAAACAAGAGTAAATTACATACATAATTATGTGAAAATAGAATAGGTTACTTTGGCAATCATGGATGTCTAAAGAGCATTTTCCATAGGGCCCTAAACTATATAAACTTCCCCAGAAATTGGACTGATGTTTAATATTTATGAATTACATTGTTTTATTTTGTACCAGTGTTTGACAGGTACAAGAACTACAGCCCATACGACATCAAGGAGAGCATCAGGAAGGAGGTGAAGGGCGACCTGGAGAAATCCTTCCTCACTCTGGGTACGTCAGTCCAAGTTCACAATGAATCTATTCAAAAACTATTCATAACAGTTTCTTTGCACATATATGAGGATTATTTCAGCTTTTATCTAACAGATGTTTATAGGTTTAAAGAATTACATTTGTGTGACCTTTCATCCTGTAGAACTATATAATATTTCAGTTAAAACTAAAGTTAAGATAATATTCCTCTTTTGTCTCCTAGTGGAGTGTTTTGAGAACAAGCAGCTCTACTTCGCCAACAGACTCAATGAGGCCATGAAGGTAACACTCAACTACTCCATTAAATATTCATTTCACAGCTTAGATACTACAGGGCTCAGTGAAGTTAACCATGGTATTAGACATGAAATATCCAAAAAGTAAATTCACAAATGTTGAACCTAATTATTTCTATTAGTAACTAGACCCAAGAACTCACTGCATTACAACACAAATCTGAATTTTTACAATATTCATTTCACCCGCACCCATGTGTATTAAATAATATTTGTCTATAGTATGTTATGTGTCATCTGAAAGCTAGTAATACTAAAATTAATAGAAGCGCACATTGATTAAAGGCATATATTGAATTCATTTGCCTCCTCTACATCTAATAAAAGAAAGAAAGAAAAAATAACTCTCAGAAATTCCTTTATTAGTTCTATTCAGGCAACAGTAGAGGGCAGCACTGCACTTCTGTAGTCTGTTGAAGTTGTCTGTCATATTATGGACATGCAATTGACAAAAATAAAAGCTGCAATGAAGTAACTACTATCATAAACATCAGACTAGAGAATAACAAGACACAATTTAGGGTTTCATCAAAGCTCCATTCAAATGTGTGTGAAAAGCTAAAGCTGTATTACCCACCCTGCAGACTAAGGGGGCCAAGGAGAAGGTGGTGACCCGGATCCTGGTGTCCCGCTGCGAGGTGGACCTGATGAAGATCCGCACTGAGTTCAAGAGGCACCACCGGAGGTCCCTGTACCAGACCATCACCGTAAGTCACGCCCACCCATAAGGCTAGCACATGTATCTGACCACGTCACCACGGCAACCACAAAAGCATGCATTTTATTTTAGTCATTCTTCCAGTTACTAGTGGATTAGAGTATTTGGTTCTCTGAGCAGATAGTCCCAAATTCAATTCCTGGACTAAACTAGTGCTTAAAGGTTCTATATTATACAAAATTGACTCTTGTGACCTTTAAGCCATGCTATAGTGTTGTTAACTCCTCAAAACAAAGGCCTACCTGGAGTTGTGTTTTGTTTCATTCACATATGTATGAGTTATCCTTTATTATTAATCTGTCAACATCTCCAAAATTCTAAATACTCTGTCCCACCTTGTGGTGTCTGGTAGTGGTAGTATTCAAGTTTACAGCTACTTTTTTACTTGTAGTTCACTAGATTGACCAGGGCTGAACGTACCCAAATGATTCTAGTGAAAGTGTATGGCGCACATTGGAGCACTTCCTGTATTACCACATGGTATCACAAGGTGGAACAGAGTGTTTTCAGTTTGAGAACTCTGTCTTAATTTACAGGGTTTGTTTTTTGTGTGAGAATGAAACAAAACACAACTTCAGGTATGTTTCTGACGAGGAAACAACTTTATAACATAGATCAGACACGTAATATGGACTTTAAATTGTTATTACTTTGCCAGGAATGGTCCACAGTATAGCATTAAAGTAATCTATCGCCATAGAGGCAAACAGGTGATACCACAAGGTTACAGGTCAGATCTGTAGAATGGTGACCCCGATCACTGTAAGAGTGAATGTTGTTTGTAGTCTTTTATTTGTATAAAACATCTGTAATGGAATAGATGTGAGATTGATAAGTTTAATGCAATACTATGGAACATTCTAAGCACTGGAGATAGGCAGATGTAACCAGAAAAGTTACATAGTGTTGTTTAAGTGCCATTAAATACTCAAATGTCCAGTATCACATATATAGATCAGTTTTATGATTATCCTTTTCTGTATTACGTTGATCTTTATCTTAAGTATTATGTATATTATATAATTATACAAAAATAAAGTATATCTTGATGTTATGTCCCACAGGAGCACACTAAAGGGGACTACCAGAGGGCCCTGCTCAGTTTGTGCGGAGGAGATGACTGAGACTACATTACCCACAAGCCCCCTCTTCATTTACAGTATTAACACCACATGCCTTTGTTCTTAATCTGCTCCATGTCAATGTAATAAAAGTCTGAAAATGTCACGTTTCTCCTGAGTGTAGTGTGAGTGCTTGTCCAGCAGAGGGCGGTGGAGTCCTATGGTCAACGTTCAGACTAGGAACATCGTTTAACACAGAGTTCGGTCTTTTTATTTCTACAATCTGAACGATCGTGGACTTAAAATCGAAAGAGTCATTCTGGAATGTTTACCAAAGACAACGTAAAATAAAACAAAAATATGGTATAACACTTAATAGTTTTGTTTAGTAATAATAAGAGATAAGTATAGAATTTAACCGTGAAAAACTTGAATTTGAAAAAAAAAAAAGAAAGACAGAAAATGTCTAATAAAAAAAAAGAGGAAAAAAAGTAGTAGTAGTAATAATAATAATAATAATAATAATAATAATAATAATAATAATAATAATAATAATAATAATAATAATAATAATATGGCATACACTAATATATAAAATACAATATTAATTTTCTAATTTCACCAAGTTAATTTCCCTTATTTATTTAATGAGACAGATTGAAAACAAAAAGCTGTGATAAAAAAAATGTGTGTAGAACACTTATACAGGGAAGGGAAGCAAAATATAATGAATAGAATATATAAGGAGATATAAAAGAAAAAAAAATGAAATAAACTAAATAAGATCAACCAGATGGGGTAAGATACAACAAGTAATATCTAATAATAATAATAAAAAAATATAAGAATTTACAGTGTGCTAATTTACACTTGCTTTATAACTGTAAGGATTTCTAATTCAGTTCCAGCTCTGATTCACACTTCACCACATAGATTATTACGTGTCAAGAGAGAGGCAGCCATGCTTCTGCCTGTCAGCCCCAGGGCAGCTGTGGCAACAAGTACTTAAAGATGCACTGTATTACTTGTCTGGTAGAGGGTCTGTCACCTGCTTGTGTTCATGGAGAAGTCCCTAGAATGTTCCACAGTATGGCCACAATTTAAAAATCATCATGGAGACTTTACAGCTCAGATTTGTGGAGAGGCGACCCCATTCACAATGTTTTCTAAGATATTTTTAAGCAATAAATAACATCTGTAGTTGACTAAATGCAAGAGAGATTAGTTCAATGCCATACTGTAGACAATTAAAGCAAAGAATTAACATCTCCATAGAGACAAACAGTATGTGGACCGAATACTGGCCAATACTGTTGTAGAAGCTTATTGTGCAATACTAATCTGAGGTATTCAGTAATAGTTCTAAATCTCCCAAGGGAAGGGGTTGGGCAAAGAACTACAATATATGCACAAAAATCCTTATTCTGAACATAAGAACTCACACAAAATAGATTTAGAAAGACATCCTTTTCAATATACAGTAATTATTTTAAAAGCCCCATATTATGCTATTTTCTGATCTGATTTATAAAGTAGTTTCCTCATCACAAAGATACCTGGAGTTGTTTTGCTTCATTCACACATGTTTAACAGACAAATCCTGCATATTTAAGATGAGTTCTTCTCTCAAACAGAAAACACACCATGTCATGTGATCAATGTTTTTTTTTTTTTATATATATTTATTGTCTATTTTTCCTCATTGTTCTTGACACATGCATATCTATATTTATTTGAATTATGGTGGATAAGACTTGTCTTATTAGTTTGGTCGCCTAGTAGATAATCAGAGCTGAAAGTTGTTTTATTTTTTTGCTAGTACAGTTACAGTTTGTTTACATCCATTAAATATGATTGTTATTATTTTTCTTATGATTATTATCTAAAAGTAAACTACTCTTTAATGTCATATTGAGAGAAAATCAAATTGCTCTGAGGCCTGTGCCATTAGTGGCACTAAGGGCAGTTGGTTGGGGGCCCCTCCAGGTTTGGGGGCCCTAAGTGGCTGGCTACATTTGCCTAATGGTAGTACCGCCTCTGCATGTGATAATACAGGAGTTTTTAAAGTTCACACTTTCACAAGAATCATTTGGACGATGTTAGCCCTGGAATTACCTATCTGTACTGAACTAGCGGTAAAAGGTAGCTGTTAACTTGGAAACTACCACTGCATGACATCACAAGGTGGAATAGAGCAATATGAGCTTTGGTGATGCAGATAGACTAATAATAAAGGGTTACTCAAACATGTGTGGATGAAACAAAACTTCAGGTATGTTTTTGAGGAGGTAACAGCATTCTAGCATGGCTTAAAACTCACAAGAGTCCATTTTGTGCAATATAACACGCTTCTGTTTAAAAACAAGTGAATCCAGCTGTCAGTATTTCACAGTAAAACCTACAAAGTCAGTCTGAGTATCATTTATCTGCATTTAAAGTGTAACTCTGAAGCAAACTAAAATAAATCAAATGAACTGTTCTCACATTCTGTGAAGGAATGAATCACACTTTCACTTTTTGTATTGGTGTTGTATTTTCATTAAAACAAGCATCTAAATTAAAGTTCATATGACACACACACACAAACACACACACACCCCCGCACACCCACCCACACACACACACACACACACACACACACACACTAAAGTAGCATCCAAAACACAGAGACGATTGATACGCAAGGAAGATGTTTTTATTACGAACCAAATCTTGATTCCCCATTAACATACACTGTCCCAGTCAAATAAATAAATACACTTTTTGTTCCTTATTCACCTTACTTCACCTTCTCCATCTTTACTTTTTTATTTTGCCAACATCAGTATTTACAACATGAAGTACATATTTACAGGATATTTTTCTGACTGTTTAAACCTTCATGCAAAAGAATAAAGGTGTTGTCATCCATTTTTATATTTCTAATCATAAATATTGTGTAATTTCGATACATTTTGGCACTTGTTTAGATTATGGTTGCTAGGTAACAGTTATTACAGGAATTACAGGAATATTATGTATGTCTGTGTCCAACCAGGAGTAAAAATAAAATGATAAGCTTCACCAGAATTAAAAAATAGACCAAACTGGGCAGGATTTTTTGTAAAATCTTAAATGTAATGATGTTAACTATGTTTAAGTGAAAAAGTAGTCTAACCTGTTACATGCACTTTAACCATAAGCTTATAGAATATGTTGCAATATTATCTGAAACCTAGAAGTAGATGTAGAATAATTTGGATTTTTAAGCAGTGTCAAAAATAACTGGTTACTGGAGATCACTGTCAACAGAGTAATGGATTATCAGTGGTATTAATAGGATTTACAAAATTTACTGTAAAAAATAAATCATATTTCTATAAAAGTACACATTATTTTTGGTATTACAAGATGTTTAATTATTATTTTTTTGTATGATAATATGCTATTATTATTATTATTTTTTTTTTATGTTTAACAATGCACGACTAATGCTTGGCAGTTTTGTACAGAAAGCATAACAATGTGCAATAATCATGACATTACATTTTGGAAATTATGATGTGAATAAGCAAAAAGAAACCATAATATACTTTTTGTAGTAACATTTAATCAAATTGTCATCATCATATGTTCATCTCAAATTCAAATCAAATCAAATGTGATCATGCGATATTAAAAATCCTGGACAAACTGGCTCCCTCTCTTTCAAGTCCTTTTCAAGACACTTTGAGACAGTCACGGCTTTTTCTTCACATCAGCTCAGGCTCATGTTTGGTGAGAGAAACAATTAGTGAGGAGCGAGCAACGCTTTGGCTATAGGCTTTGATATGAGCCATGCCCCAGGCCTCCACTGTTACCTCCTGCACCCCCCTCTGCCTCTCTGTGTGTCCCTCTGTGTCTCTGCCACACACACACTCACACACAAAGAGACACACACAGACGGACAGAGCTGGTTGTGTGTGTCAGTCTGGAGTGTTGCAGATGGCAGGTATATTAGCGTTAGGGTGTGTTAGGCGTGTGTTAGCCGCGGGCTGGTCCTGACGCCTGTGTGTGCTAATGGCCCCTGACAGCCCCCACATGCTGCTTCATTAGAGCAGTGTGTGTCTCTGAGTGTTTGTGTGTCTGTGTGCGTGAGGGCCGGACTAGAGCCCGGACAGGCAGACTCACTCCTCTGCTCTGCTCCTCTGACTCTTCACCTCTGATCCTGTGACTCCTCATCTCTGATCTGCTCCTTTAACTCTTCACCTCTGCTCCTCTGGCTCTTCTCCTCTGCTTCTCTGTCTCTTCTCTGCTTTTCTGACTCTTCACCTCTTCTCCTCTGATTCTTCTCTGCTCCCGTGAATCTTCGCTGCTTCTCTGACTCTGCTCTGCTCCTCTGACTCTTCACCTCTTCTCTGCTCCTCTGGCTCTGCTCCTCTCCTCTGTGTTCAGACTGACAGCTCTTCTCTCAGAGCAGCTATTCTTTTGTGAGAAGTTTTACAGTTTAGGCAGGTCCCTAAGGTATTACGGGTCCCCAGAGAGCAGAAATCAACACATGTCCTACTAGAGCAGTTCTACATCTGCACCACCTGAAGACACAACAAGCAGCCTGCCACCGGTCATGCTTTAACTCCAGAGCACTGCTTAAACATAACACAGCTGAGAGTGGGACCACTGGTCCTGGAGGCCCTCACAGTGCAACTGTCCAAACGTGCAGATATTCAAGCCATGGGCCTGGCCTGATGCAGCCTGTGTGAGGGTAAGTGTCTCACATTGTCTCACAGTACAACAGTAAACAGACAGCACACATGCAGGTGTTTACTCTGGAGATGAAGTTTACCAAAGGAATCACAGCTCCCACCGGCTCCCACCGCGCCGCTGCACCGAGTGGCAAAGTCAAGAAACTTTCAGGTAAGTCACGCTCAAGTTTGGAGAGTGTGGAGCAGATAATGAGAGCAGAACATCAGAGGGACCTCCAGAGGCTTGTGCAGTCTGACTCTGACTCAGACCTATGCTAAGCACAGGAGCATCATTAAAATAACACAATGAGACTAAAATGGAAATTGTGTTGCCGTGGGCGACTGCTCAACATTCAGAGCAATGCTCACATGATCTTTTTCTGCAGAGGGATAATACTGACGGACAGCTCTGTAACTAGCACATATAGTGAC